CCCTGACTTTGTCCTCCTACTCCGGCCATTCAATCTGGAGCATTCCACTGGGCACCTCCCCATCTTGGCATCTCTAAGACGGGCAGCCCTGCCCCCTTGTTCCAGATCTTCTGCAGGTCTATACCAAGGCCACTGCCAAGCGGAGGCGGAGGAGGGGGAGAAAGAAGCCTTCTCCTGACCCAGAACCGCAGCTCTGGTCTCCCCACGCCCCCAGGCAGGACTGTGGCCTGTGTTGGAAGTGTGGTGTGAGACTTGGACAGTGCACATGACTGCTCTCTGGGTTACGGAGACAGTCAACGGCACGGGCCCAGCGCCATGTTCTCCCCGCTCTGCAAGAATGCACAGAACGCACATTTTAGAGCTGGACTTTGGTTTGACATTTGAGTCCTAAGCAGGGCAGTCTTCAGAGGCAGAGGGGCCTGGAACAATTGTGTTGCCAAGATTTCCCACAGTTTCCCTTCCTGGGAACAGACAGCTTCTCACACCCCAGCCAGGTCTGTCTCATGCAGAGGACTCACCAGGGCACCCAGCAACTGGTGTTTTCTTAACAAAGGACATTGGGAGCCTCTGGCTAGACTAGTTTTGCCCATTTTACAGATGCGAAAGTAGATTCCCTGCCAGGTTTGGAAAAAGGCCAGAGGCCTGTGCTTCCTGCTCCCCAGGCTGACCTACCGAGCTCAACTTCTCTGTCTAGGAACTGAGAGAATCCCCCCAATACCCCCACCATTCCTGGAGAGCTGGCAGAACCTTCTATAGCACCCGGTCCAGAGAGCGCTCAGGACAGGGAGCGCTTCCCCTTTGTTTGATTTTTCCGAACAATATGGTGCCCGAAGGCTGCCTTGGACCTGACAGCCCAGCACTGCAGCTTCCTGTGGGGAATGAAGGCTCAAAGAGTGGGTACGTCTGGTACCCCCGTTCTGAGAAAACGCGCCTCCCCCCAGATGGACCATGTTATAAGAGGTGCTCGGGCGGAGATAAACATCAGTTGAAACATACATGAACAGTTTCAGGCGTGTGATCTGCCCTGCCCATTACCTCTTTCTGATGAAGGTCAAATTTTCATGGAAAGTTCTAGCTGCTCACTGTTAGGGGTACAGCACTGTCTGACCGGCCTGTACGGAGTGTGAAGGCCCAGGCTGGCCCGTAGGTTGTCGGGAGGACTCTGCTCCCCCACCTCACCCTGTGGACGGGATTCAAGCCCACAGCTGGCTGTGTGTCCCTGACCAGCTTGCTGTGCCTCGCCCAGCCTCTGCTATTTTATCTGAAAACTGGAGCCAGGTGCCAGAGTGGCGTGAAGGTGAAGGGGTTCCTGGGGCAGCCCAATTGCCCCCCAAGGCCAGACTCCTCTGCCTGGCTCTGGAAGCTCTGGAGTGTGTCCCTAGTTCTGCCTTTCCAGATTCTTCTCCTCCTGCCCCTTAGGGCAACCCTGGGGTCTCCTAGGCGCCTGGCACCTGCAGGGCCTCCCCCCTACCCCTAGTGAAGCCTGCCCACGGGCTCAGCTCCCGCACCACCTCCTCTAGGGAGCCCGGACTCTCTCCTCCCCCAAGTCAGATGTGGTCCCCCCTTCATTCTCTTCTGTGTGAAGACAGCTTCCTCTTGCTCGTGAGCACCCCTCCTTCCCCGGGAGCAAGAATCCCACCTGCTCTCCCTGGCCTCACTCAGGTATCATCCAAACAAGGTCTTGCCCACAGGCTGGACTGTAATGTGGTGAACATCACCGGCTCCCTGATCCGCAGGGCCCTTCGGGCAGCCGCGCCAGTTGGCAGCGTTCCACAGACCGAAGCCTCCAACAAGCTGGATGGCACCACCGTTTAAGTCTCGGGAGAACCCGAGGAAATAGACAGCAGGAACAGGAACACCACCCCCACCCCACGCAGTTTAATCTTTCTGAAGTGGGACTGTGTCTTCCAGCAAATGGGCAGGGAGAATCGTCCTTAACGAGTTTAAACCTGGCTCCTCCCCATTCGCGCCCTTTCGGTTGGAGAAATAAGGTAGCTCCCCCTTGGAGAGCCGGGAAACCTCAGGCCCGTGAGATTGCGCCCGCTGTGACTTGGTGCATGCCGGAACCACATGCAAGAGCAGGGCTTATACTCAGCACCCCAATGACCCCTCAGCACCCCAGAGCCCATGAACCACTCCTGGGGCTCCCACCTATGGGCCCCCCAGCCTTGAATACAGGCTGACTAGCCTGGAAGAATAGAGCAGACAAAAGTGCATGACTGGATTAAAAATATGTGGTTCATATACACAATGGACTATTACTCAGCAACCAAAAAAGATAAACACGTGCCTTTTGCGGCAACATGGATGGAGCTGGAAGGGATCATGCCTAGGGAAATAAGCCAGCAAGAAAAGGAAAAATACCGGATGGTTTCACTCATAGCAGGAGCATAAAGGACTAGGGAGAAAATAACAATAATAATGAACAGCTATATACCAGAGACATTTTATGGGGGTGGAGTGGGGGTTGGGATCAAAAAGGGGGGGAGGGAAGTGCACTGGACTATGGTGATGGGTGATTTGGTGATGGGAAGCCCACGGGGATGACAGCTGAGATGGAAAAGGCACAAAATGATGTAAAAATAAACTGTTATATCACTTAAAAAAAAAATAGGCCAGAAGTGACAGAGCCCTTCTGAGCGCCCCAAAGGCCATGGCTTCTCACTGGTGCGGAAGGAAGCCCCTGTCAACCCTGGGTCGACAGCCAGCGACCAGGACACTGAGTCCCTAGGCCCAGCGAGCCCCAGGGAACCATGTCCAGCCAACAGGCAGCCTTGGAAGTGGACCCAGAACCCTGAGGTGACTGCAGGCCCTGGCTGGAGCCTGCAAGGGCCCCCAAGCCCCAGGTCCCAGCTAAGCCAGGTTAGGCTTCCTGACCCCCAGAAAAGGCGAGGTCACAGGTGAGCGTGGCTCTCTCAGGAAGGCTTTGGGGATCTGGGACACCGTCGGAAACAACGAGCATTCGCTGCTTCACCCCGAGATGAAAAGACATTGTTCCAGCCATCAAGGGACACCCGTGGGCGGGGAGGCCCTGCTCCCGCTGTGTGCACCCGCTGTGTGCACTGTGAGGAGAGTGGGCTGGGGACATTCCAGGGAGGCGTCCTGAGCCGGGTCGGTAAGGTGAAACTCGCAGGTGAAGAAGGCAGAGAGGCAGAGGACAGTGTTTCTGGTGTCCTCCGAGGGTTTGAGACGGCGCTTGCCCAAGGGCCTGTGAGTCGCCCCAGTCATCCCAGAAGTGGGAGTCAGCAGAGCTGGCCCGCGCAGGCGTGGGTGGGGGGTTACTGAAGTTGACTGTGCTGGGGGTGGGTTAACCAGGGTCAGGGCAGCCTAAGGGTGTGGGCAGGGTTAGAGCAGCGAGGGCCGGGTGTGGTGTCCATCGGCCTCCCGGACAGGGACAGCCCGGGCCAGAGGAGCAGCAGGCCTCTGTGGCCTCCTCCTCCTGCTGGCCGGCCTGGCTCCTCCAGTTGGGAGCTGAGCCCGGAGGGTATTAAAGACCGTTTAAAACCAAGGAAAGCCTAGCAACCCCCAGAGAGAAGAAAGCAAAGCCAGACCTGGGGGGGCAGCGTGGGGTGAGCCGAGGGCACCGGCCCAACTCCCTGCCCACAGTCCCCAAGTGGCAGGTCGCCTGGCTTCCGGTCCGCCTGGGCCGCGCCCAGGGCACAGGGCAGCTGGGTGGCGGCGCGGGCTTGACAGTCTGCCCGGGTGTGGGCCAGGGCTGCCTCTAACTGGCCACGCCCTCCAGCTGTCTCAGACCTCAGTGTCCCTGCCTACAAAATGGGAAAAGGCATGTCCAGCAACTGGGCCGATCATGTGACTTTTTTGTTAGTCCTGATGTGTAATATAAGTGGTTGTTCACATGGCGGGTCATTCCCAGCCCCAGGGTCGACCCAGACGTCACCTGGCACCGGGCACCCAGAGGAACATGAGGCTTGCTCTGACTCAACAGGGTGAGCGGGGCACCCTTGCTGCCTCCATAACCCTCAAGGCCCCCAAATTGTGCCTTGAGCCAAGAGTGAACGAGGGGCATGCGGCCCTCAAATCCTAGGGTTCTGGCCCAGCCCAAGGACCTGTCTCTCCCCAGTCTAGAAAGTAAGCCTGCTGCTGGTTGTCTGGCTTTTGTCATGGATGATTTACCACGTGTGAGGCTCACAGCAGCCCATTTCACAAGGAGGACACTGGCCAGGGGGCAGGGACTTGCCAGGACCCTGAACGCCACTGCTCGGCCGTACGCAGGCTTGGGGGGCCCAGCTCCAGGCTCAGCGGCACTAGCTCATCAGACCGTCCCCTCTCCCGAGCTGTTCACCCCCGTTACAGCCCAGGAGCCAGGCAGAGGCCCCCGGACCGCAGTTGCAGGTGACTTCTGAGGGCGTGGCAGGGCTCGGAGCTGGCTCTTGACCCTCTTCTGTGCTGGCAAGTGAGGCCCAGAGTGGGCCTGGAAAAAGTCCTAGCCTTGTTTAAAACTTGCAACAGTAGTAAAGTGTACATAAACAACACCTGTCATCCTAGCCGAGTTCTGGGCACCATAGGAGTGCACCCCACGTTCACAGCCTTTGCAAAGGTGAAGCTCCCGGCATCACACTCAGGCGCCCCCCACCCCAGCCCCTGGCAACCACCCACTCGGCTGCCTTCTGTCTCCTGAGAGGCTTCTGTCCTGCTTCTGAAGTGTCTGTCTCGCTGTTGGGCCGTCTGCCCTCAGTGCCGGGACAACTAAGGACAAGCGGGACAGGCAGGGCTGCAGGGGTCAAGGGAGGCTGTGGGCTTCGGGGCTGGGGTGGACATGATGGCTGTCTGGGGCGGCGGCAGCGGCGCGGGAGGGGAAGGCCTGCTGAGGGGCAGCTGAGAGTGACGCAGGCTCAGCCTGCCCTTTGGTTTATGGCAGCTACCGCAGCAGCGCCAACCTTTGCCCCCCAAGTGAGTTCCGGGCAGACGGGCGGAGGCTCCAGGCCTCTCAGAGGGCCAGTGGCTTGTGAGGGGCCCGGGCAGCCCCCCAGCTCCTGAGCATGAGCACCGGGCCACGCAGCCAGTCCTTGCGAGCACCGCGGCGCGCCTACGGCCAGCTCCAGGAGGCCGGGGGGAAGCCCTCGGAGGGCCGGCTGCGCCGCTCACGGAGCCTCAGACAGGAGAAGCTCAGACAGGAGAAGCCCGATGGAGGCCCAGACGGGCCGGATGGCCCTGGCCCGGAGACGCTGGGGGACACGGAGCAGCTGATCCGAGCCCAGCGCGGAGGCAGCCGGGGGTGGCTGAAGCAGTACCGGCAGGTTTGCTGGAGGGTAGCGGCCTGCGGGAGGACCCTGGGGCGGGGCGCCCAGGGGAAAGAAGCCCAAGAGCCATCTGTTGGCAGGCTGGAGGGAGAGTGTCCCTGCGCAGGGCCTGAGTCTTGGGGTGTGTGCCTCGTGCACTGGGGAGTCACGGAAGGCTTTGGAGATGACGATCTATCCGGTCAGTGTTTCATTGTGTGTGGATAAACCGCTGTTGCTGGACGCAGATCAGCCTGCGCC